TCAATGGTTCAGGTAAACTCTATTACTCAGTAGCTTTATAGTCTTTTATTCCTGTAACCTATCTATAACTATAGGTTTATAGAGATATCTAGCTAATTTGATTATGTTTTTTATTACAGCTTCAGCTACCACTGTCACTCCTGCAGCAACCACAGCAACTATAACTTCAGGTGGATTAAAGGTTGAATCCAGCCTGCTCCAAGCAACATGCCTCATTATTATGTCTAAAATATTAAGGCTTTTCCTATAGATCCCTTAAACATATATCAAACAAATATGAGAGTTCAATAATAAACGCTATAACAAATAATTAAACAACAAATGTATTTATTATTATTACATGGTATACTGGTACAACATTCTTCCCATTGCAGCACACTCTGAAATAATGGTATAGAGTAATATAAAGATAAGTTTGATGATGCATTGTTCCTCAAGAATATAATTGCAGATATTTGTTTAACAGCAGGCTGTTCTGGGAGGGAGAAGTGGATCTTTTTCCTCATGCATTTTCAAATGTATGTTTTCAAATGTAAACATTGTAATTGCTGTTTAACTGTTTTGAGGTTAAATACTGGTCATACTTCTTTTTCTTTTTTTATCTAATAATTTCCAACATTGCAATGTCATACTGTATTTTAATTAAATAAAAATATTTTAATCATGACAACTCTGAATATTTTAGCATGGTGATGTGAAAATGACAATGTTAATGTATTTGGTCTTCGGAATAGATCTGCTACACTGCTGCTGCTGCTGAATTGCTGAGCCAAAATGGTGGCGTTATCCAATTTGCCTGGTGTTAGTCTTGGCTCCACCCTGCCACTGGCTTGTCTGCTGTTCAGACATTAGCATAGCCTCACACCTCGTCCCTCTCTCATTCTTTGTGTCTGCTCCATCTGCCGTGCCCTAGTCACCAGCTTGCCTGCTCTGTGGCACTGTATTCCCAGCGCTCACGGCTAAACATGTGCGATACCGCAGAATCACCACTCGCCTTACAGCAGCATTTCAGGCACTGCACACTGAGTACTTGATGATCAGGACAAAGGCAACGTGATTTTAAATATCAGGTTTATTATGGAAAATCAGAGACAAAGCTTAGAATTATATGGTAATACTTTACAATAGTCCCATTCGTTAACATTAGTTAATGCATTAGCTAAAATGAACTAACAATCAGCAATATATAAAGCATTTATTAATATTAGTTATAAAAATACAGTTGCTCACAATTTTTTCATGTTAGTCCATGATGCATTAACAGTTTTTTTTTTTTAAATGTGTTAGTAAATGTAAAGATCAATAAGTGCTGTAGAAGTATTGTTCAATTGTTGTTCATGTTAACAATGTAGTTCAATCATGACAACTCTTGGAACATTTTAGCATGGTGATGGATATGACAATGTTAATGCATTTGGTCTTGGTGGAACAGATCTGCTACGCTGCTGCTGAATTGCTGCTGCTATTGGTTATTACTGTAGTTGTAGATTATTGCTGCTGCTGCAAGCAAGTACAGGAACTTGCTACTGCCAATGCATACGGTGATACGGTGCCGTGAATATTTAAGACATACTGCTGCTGCACAAATAGCATATAAAATAACCCATAGCAGATATATACAGGTGGAGCTGGGGAAGGTGGAGAGTTTCAGAGAAACTCTGAAAAGCTCGCTGTATAATAATCTCTAGTGAATGCTAGCCAGCCATATAAATGCAAGGCAGTAAGCTCATTGGCTGCATATGCAGCATGAACCAATCAGCTTGTGCCAAGTCGTTTAACTCTCTGAATATCAGCAGTTACGTTAACACCCGTCAGAATGCGCCATCTAGAGCTTCATGACTGAACTATATATTTAATTGATTTTAGCAAATGCAACTGTATTGTAAAAAATCAGTACTATATACAAAGATTGTCAAAAATGAATAAATACTTAAATATAATCTTGCAATTTCCAATAATATTTCAAGTTAATCAGTTTAAAACAGAAAGATTGCCTGAAGATCGAAATTAATAATAAATCAAATATTCCAAAATTACCAATAATAGTCTAAGTTAATCGCTGCATTACAGTACAATGATCTGAAATATAAAAAATAATCGAATAATATAAAAATTTACAATAATCGTCAAAGTTAATAAGTGAAATATAGAAAAAATGATAAATAACCACATATTGAAAAATAGTCTGACATTAATAAATAATCTTATATAAAAGGTAAAACTCCCCAGAACAAGCAGATCTATTGCCAAGACATATGTACTGTATCTGCCCATACATCTACAGAGTCTACAGTTTCTACAGCAATTACAGAGTCTACAGCTTCTACAGGCTCTACAGCCTCTACAGAGTATACAGAGTCTACAACATCTACAGAGTCGACAGCTTCTACAGCATCTACAGAGTCGACAG